AATGGAATACAGTGCTTGGAGGTTCAGCAATCATTCTATAAGCATGAAAAAGAAAGCCCCACAAAGCAGAAGTGTAGCATAAACCTGGAATCCTGCTGACAGCATCCCACCATACAGACTGCTGCCTTTGGTCTCTTTATCACATGAGAAAAGTAAATTGACCTAATAAAAGCTGTTCAAAGAAACTGGAGCTGATCTTTTTTTTCCTCTTTTAATAACATTCCTGTAGCTCAGGTATTCAAAAATATTTTCATTGATGAAGAATGATTTATAATGTTTTAAGCAAAGTATATTTATAAGAAAAAATAATAATAAAGCATATAAAAAGAAACACATCAAAATATTAACAATGGTTGTCTTTATGGCAGCTTCCCCCTTCACTTCTACTTTTCTGTTTCCCATAACAAACATACATTTGTTTTATTTAACAAACTAAAGCTAAAAAAAAAAGTCACCCCGAATTTAGACCTACCTCAAAGTAACTGTGGAAGTCCTCGATGTGTAAGTGGTGATGACGATGTTTATTCCTAAGAAAATTATTTTTATGTTTCAAGCTAGGATTGACTCAACACAACCTCACCTTCCATCAATCCTGCTCAGAACATTCTAATCATATCAAGACTTCTAGGAAACAAGTAGTATGAAATAACTCTTTACACTTTATTGGAGAGCCATAAAAGTAATTACTATGTTAGTGAGGCACTTACAAAGAAATACAATTGTCTCTCAATACTCCCCAGGGGGATTGGTTCCAGGATCCTGCTCTCCTCAAATACCCAAATCCACGGATGCTCAAGTCCTTTATATAAAATGGCATAGTATTTGCACATAATCTTCACACATCCATAAACTTTAAATCATCTCTATATTATTTATAATACCTAATGCAATATAAATACTACGTAAATAGTTGCCAGCAAGGGGCAAATCAAGTTTGCTTTTTAGGAGCTTTCTGGAGTTTTTTTTTTAATTGAAGTATAGTCAATTACAGTATGTCAATTTCTGGTATACAGCATAAGGTCCTAGTTATGCATATATATACATATATTCATTTTCATGTTGTTTTTCATTAAAGGTTATTACAACATACTGAATATAGTTTCCCTGTGCTATACAGAAGAAATTTGTTTATCTATTTTTATATATAGTGGTTATCATTTGCAAATCTCAAACTCTCAAATTTATCCCTTCCCACTCCCTTCCTCCATAAACATAAGATTTACTATGTCTGTGACTCTGTTTCTGCTTTGTAGACGAGTTCATTAGTGTCTTCTTTTCCCTTTTTCTTTTTTTTAGATTCCACATACGAATGGTATCATACGGTATTTTTCTTTCTATTTCTGACTTATTTCACTTAGAATGACGATCTCCAGGTCCATCCATGTTGCTGCAAATGGCATTATTTTACTCAAATATTTCCCCACGGATACGGAGGGCTGACTGTATTTAAAAGGAAGCTTCAAAGTTTCGCTCACAGAACTGCTAGAACAAGTGCAGGCATAGGATGCAGACACTGCTATGCTGCCTGCTGCCTTTCAGGTCTGTGCAGGACACTGAGATGAGGGCAAGGGGACAGGGAAGGAGCAGGGAGAGACCCGGCAAAGAAAGGTCAGGACAACTGATAAAAACTGTCAGCGATAAAAGGCTGGAGAAAACTTTGACTAAATGAGAGACACAAATAGATACCCAGTGGGGAACAAACCTCATGATAACCTAGAAAAATCTTGAGGTTTAACTCTGAGTGAAGTGGTTCACAATGTTTAAAAAAGAGAGAGAATGACACTTTAGAACCTAAGGAAGTGACATACTGTTGTCTGGGAAATGTTAAGTTAGGGAATATTTTCAGAGCTGTTTTCCCCAATTTAATACTTAATATATTAGGAAAGAAAATGACTCATAGGTGTGTCTACAGATACTACTCCCATTTTAAACATTACATAGACAACATAAAATACACTAATAATATTTCATGAAACTCTAAACTCTAAAATCAGGTTCCAAGAAAAAGGCAACCTATTTGCTAAATCTAGATTCTTATTTTTCATGAAAGCACTTTTGGTTATTTTATTACCAAAGTGAGAGATGATCTCACTAAATTAATTTAACACTTCTTTTACTTGACTAAAAAGAATAAAGGTATTAGCCCAAATGATCTTTCCTTGTTCGATCAGCTATCAAATTTCCTCTTCCCCTGTCTTTTCAAAGAACACATTTTTATTATTTTTGCTTCTAAGCAGCCTATATAAAAGATCATCTGATAATTACATAAACGCTGATATAAATCAACATCATAACCAGTATTAGTAACATTTCAGGAGAACTCTTTTTGCTTTTGGTGCACAGTAGAAATAAATATGTGTATCTGATGTATAGATCCAAATGGCAAATTTTTAAAATAAATTTTAGCTTCCCTAGCAAGGAGAAGCAACAAATTTTGTGTGACTATTTGAAAGGAATACTTTAAATGAAGAATTTAATTATAGCATAATGAAAGGGACAGGAAGAGAGTAAGCAGGGAGAGAAAAGAAGCAAGAGCTGGAAGCCCTGGGTTATAAATTCCACACTGCCTCCAACTTGTGTGACCTTGATCCAGTCATTCACCCTTTCAAGAGACTGTTTCAATATTAAAATCAGAGCTAATTTATGGGACACTGTAGGCTGATCTTTTTAGTTTTTTTTTAAATTAGCTGTTACTTTAGAATATATACAATTTGGAAACAGCAGTCTTAGCTATTCTCTTTCCCAATGCTTTCTCTGCTTATTTACTTTTCATTATTGCTATCTCTCCTGAAGGTATTAGTGATTACTCTTAAACTACTGATATTTATTTGGGGCTTAGCACAGCCCAAGCACATTCCAGTCACTATGCTAAGTCCTTTATATGCACTATCTTATTTAATATATACAACCCTATGTAATAATTACCCAATTTTGCAGTAAGGTCAAATTTAAGGTTAAAAAATTCACCTGAGGTCACAAAGCTACTACAAAGTCTTTTTTTAAGAAACTGAAGTATAGCTGATTTACCATATTGTGTTCATTCAGGTGTGCCACATATTGACTCAGTTATACCATGAAGTCTTAAGGATTTAAACCTGGGCTGATTCTGTAGTGGATGCATGCTGGTTTTCCCAGCCTAGCCTCCACTCCCACTTTTGTTAACAGCACCTCATTTTCCTTGGGGAACCATCCCTCCCCTGCCTTCAATTCATGTGAACCCCTGGTTTCCCAGCTAGACACGTGACCAGTCCCACGGG